AGTCGCTAAGTTCCCTTCACTGTCCAGCTCAGTTTGGGTTGGATTTTCAGTTACTTGAGGCTGAAAAGCTCTGACATCACGACAAGCAGTTTAGAGCTTCTATTGTTAGGTTGTACAAAATCTGCCTGTTAGAAGCCACTGCAGTCCCTGACCCCAACAGGCTCGCTCACTCACTCCCAAATAATCCATGTTACCCTCTGCCCATGTTTGCTTCTCATGCTAGAATGCTAGAACCTTCTTCAGACAACAGTGCTGAGCATGGAGCTGATGTGCTAAATGCTCTCTGTGGATGACGGCTGTGTCTCCGGGAAGGGTGGCAGGGCGTCCTGGCAGCCCTGTGCCCACTGGACATGCTCAATCATCAACTTGCTGAATGAAATCATGAACTGACTCAACCACTCGTGCTTCAGGGGCAAAATATGAAGTAGCCTTTTTCTGTCAACTTCACCGACATCCAGTTTCCCGGGATCTTCTAAAGAAAAACAGAAAACCTGAAAACTTGCCCTGCAGGCTTTTTTTCTTCCCAAGTGTTGGCATCCCAGGAGCATCAGACCTCAACAGTGGGAAGCAGCGAGGCAGTGCAGGGCGAGGGTGCATTTGCAGTGGACCAGGTGTGGGTTCTTCCTCGCCCTCAGGGGGAGTGAGTGAGTTTCCACCTGGGCTTCTGTTTGCTCCTGTTATCTAAAGTGTTTCCATTCCCACACAAACTCTGTTGTACTGGCACACTGTGTCCCAGATGGACACAGAACAGGAGTCATCGCCCAGCACACAAGGTCCAGAGTTCAGCACCGTGGTGTTGGGGGAGCTGTGATGCCGACACGCTCGTCTCTGGCTTGAACTCGGAGCTCAGACTGCCGCTGCGGAAGCCTGAATCCGTCAGCCTTTCCTTACTTCCCACCCCTCTCCATGCATTTTCCCCTGCTCTCAGGAGCTCTGCAGACAAAACTCCAGGAAGCCAGGAAGCCAGCCGCATATCTGACGGTTTAGTTTAAGAACCAGACGAAAAACGTTTCCTGGGAATGGCCAGAGAGTAAATACCTTTGGGTCTGTGGACACAGGGTCCGTGTCCTGCTCAGCTCAGCCCCTGCAGTGGGGGACCAGCATGCCTCTAGACCCGCAGTTCTCAACCTGTGGGTCACGACCCCTTTGGGGGTC